GCAGGGCCTGTTGCGACAGGACAAGGGGGAATGGCTTTAAACTAAAGGAGGTTAGATTTAGACTAGATAGAAGGAAGAAATTTTTGACACTGAGGGTGGTGAAACACTGGCACAGGTTGCCCAGAGAGGTGGTGGATGCCCCATCCCTGGCAACATTCCAGGTCAGGTTGGACGGGGCTCTGAGCAACCTGATCTAGTTGAAGATGTCCCTGCCCACAGCAGGGGGTTTGGACTAGATGACCTTTAGCGGTCCCTTCCAACCCAAACTATTCTGTGATTCTATATATCCCAACATCTTGGAGACTCTCAAAATGACAGAAAGGTTGACACTCTTGAGCTGCGTTTGAGGCTAGGCTGCTTAGATTGAAATCTACATTGCCTCCAGGGATAGGAGCCTGGCATGATGAATTGACTGACCTAGTAGCTGAAAAACAAAGAGCATTTCAGAGAAGTGGACTCAAAAATTTGCAAAGATTTAGCGTTACCTTTGGAAAGATCACTAGCAGGCAGAAACTAAGATACTGTTCTCCTTGACCCTCCTCTTCTTTTCTGCCCCTGTTCTTCATCTATTCACTCTCCTTGTGTCTTAACCAAAAAAAATTTCAATCCAAAATATGTATTATTTTTACAATTTCTATCGAAACAAGACATTGCACAGCAAATACCATCTCCCAGGAAGCAAGTAAGAGAACAAGGAACGTATTACAGATTTTAATCATGATGAATGCTTTCCAGTTATGCCTCAGGCAAATTCTGCAATGAAAGGTGGTAAGAATCTAGAGACAGTAAGTCTATTAACGTTTCAGATGAGTTTTGAAAATCAGTTAGGTACATTATTCCGAAAATCCTGTCTCACTGTGATAAGTTTCTTCTCAGTGGCACTTGTTGCTACTTGCTGCAGTATCAGGTCCTAAATGTCAAAAGCTCAGTGGGGAGCTACAGGATTAGGTAGGTCTGTGCCCATGACTCAGTGTTTGCAGCATCAGGCTTCTATGTTAACAGTCTGTGTAATGTAATAAGGAAATAAATGTTGTGTTATCTGATCTTGCTTAAAAAAGAATAATTGCATAATTCAGCAGTTCATGGTGCTTTTGAAAAGTGTACAAGGTGTTAACATTACTCTAGGAACATAAGCTTATGTTTGTAGTATGTACACACATGTTCATTAGTTCATATACACTTGTGTGGCATCAGAGCTAGGTCTTTGGGATTCTTTGTGTGAACCAACGGTCCCAGGAACATGTATGAGCTCCCCAGCTGAGATACATATCCCTGCCCCTTCCCGTGCCTGTATCAAGATGAGACTTGGAACATCACCATCCCTTCTCCACTCTGTGCCTCAGCTTTCTGTAAAGCACACAGCCCAAAAGGGTGCTGTGCTGCACCCTCCCCAAGCTGAAGCCACCAGATACACCAGAATACAAATTTTCACTCAATTTAGATAGTGGCTCTGTGAGTCAAAGCTACCGGTCTAGTCCTGTGTACAGCTCCAGGATTAGGTTACCATTTCATTCTCATTGCCAAGAGAGACATTCCAAATGTAAGTTACTCTTTTACCTAAGCTCAGGAGGGTGAGGTGTTGGAAATATTAATAGAGCTCTTATTATCTTCTAACAAAGATTTGTCATGTCGCTACTAATTTATACAGTTCAGCAGCAAAAGCTCCTAATGATTCTGTGGACAAAAAGGAATTATGTACTAACATGTACTTTAATTTAATAGCATTAACTCTAGGAAAAGCAATTTTTTGAAATTTTACCCTTAAGCTGTAGTCTCTGTGGTCTGCTATTGCATACTCTGTTTTTAAAAAATCTACTATTTTGTAGTTTTAAAATACATTTAACTTTCACTAACATAGTGTTTGGACGTCTGCCAGTTCCACTTTGGAATTTCAACTGATAAAGAGGGTAGCCAACAAGTAGGTGCATATTTGTTATAAATCCAGGGATAGGCTTTGTCATCTTAGATAAGATGAGATAGGTATTGTTTGTATGTCGTCTTCTAGCTTATAACTAGAGAAACATGAATAGAAGAAAAAAAACCTTTTCTGTCACAGACTTAGTTTTTAAAAGGTTATTTTAAACCTCATTTTTCAGTTTGTTCTCAATACAACACTGATTTTAATATGGAGTAATTGAACTTGAAGCCTTAAATTGCATAATCAAGTTCAGTTTTAAAAATTACATAAGCAAATTTATTTCTTGCATTTTTCAAGTCTCTTTTAAACATGTAAGCAAAACCACAAAAAGCAGATTAGAATCTCACTGCAGTGGGAAATATGTGGACTCTTTTCTGTTTCTTCTTAGAAAACTTTGCATTCTGACATAAACAGTTTGGGTTTGAATTTCAAATAAGCATACATGAATGTTTGACTTCTGACTTTCAAAAAAGCATGTACCAGTGTTTATGCATCGGTCTTCACAGTAATCTGAAGTGTTTAAACTTTAGAAGGATGGATCTTGTCGGTATTTAAATATTCTTTGCCTCCAGTTAAATGATAAAGTTCAATAAGTACAGTTTGCATATGGCTTGAAAAGTTTTTTTTCCTAGGTTCACTCATACATAACTCGTATCACTGGCATTTAGTGAATTGTAGCTTGCAGTAGAAGTGAGGAATGTTACCTCTTTAACTATAAAATAACTGTGTCACATATGCAGTAAGCATGAAACACACAGTGGACTAATGGGACTTGTTATTGATGATGCTGAAAGCTAAATAACCATTAGTATTAAATCTTATGAATAGACTCTTGTCTTTCATCTTACCTCTTCAACCAGATAAAAGACACAGAAGCTATTTAGATGTCATAAGAATAGTTTGTTGAAATCCCTCCAGAATTACCAAAAAAAAACCCTCTCTTCATGTTGCTTAGTGTTTTGTTGCGTTCAAAGAAATGCCAGTATGCTAGTGTTGAAAGAAGAATAGAACAGAAATCCAGCATTATGTGTGGTTTTAGGCTTGTTAAAGATGCTGTTGAGTTGAAATAATGTGCATCCTTTTTCTGCAGAAATCTCTTAATCAGATTTAAAAAAATATATAGAAAAGTCACTAACATTGAAAATTTGCAAGAAACCTTGTAAGACCATTTTATAATAGAGCACTTTGAATGTTTGTATTTTTCTAGTTTTGTTTCTTAGACTATCATGAATGTTTTTAAATGGCTGCATCAAATTAGAAATATCTGACTAAAAACTTTTTTATGAAGATGTTAACTTTATTTAAAGCCTCTATTCACCTAAGCATAAAGGTTTTTAAAGATTTAACTAGCAACTTTCTCAGTTCTCATGTTATAATAGAGCACTTTGAATGTTTGTATTTTTCTAGTTTTGTTTCTTAGACTATCATGAATGTTTTTAAATGGCTGCATCAAATTAGAAATATCTGACTAAATACTTTTTTATGAAGATGTTAACTTTATTTAAAGCCTCTATTCACCTAAGCATAAAGGTTTTTAAAGATTTAACTAGCAACTTTCTCAGTTCTAATAATAAAACACACTGAAGGTGGTTGTAAATTGTACTCGTCTTTCATACAGAATATTTGGAAGCAGAATATATAATACAGTGTTACCAATTGATGTAAAAGAATTATTCAGCTCTGAGATCCTGTGTGATAGCTTTGGGAACAGTAATTAAATTGGAAGTATCTCTTGTGAAATTCTAGTTAAAATAAGTATTTCCAGATTTGTGGTGAACAGATATTAATAATCATACAATGCATAATAATTAATCATACTGTTTTTTGTTTTATAGGGAGCAGAACTGGAAAGCTCTGGTGTTAATACTATGTTGCTGATACATTTCTTTGGAAAAGAAGGAAAGGAAAAACTTCGCTACTCTGAGTTTTTCAGGTATTTTTTGCAGTTAGGCAAGCCTAACAGCAACCAGTCCTGTTCCTACCCCCTCTACTTTGCACCAACACTGGCATTAATCTGACCTCACACTGAGCTGATTCAGAAATTTAAGCAGGTGATCAAGCAGGAGATTATTCATGATTTTGCATGTTTAAATTTCTAGTTTAGCTCCTTGGGTCTGCTGTTTGCAGGAGGAGTTGAGCACCATGATAACTCCAAAGCAGCAGTGGGCCTGGAGGCTGTCAGGGTTGAGACTACCATTCTTGGCAGCTGTGCGATAGCATACCTTTAGACAATATGATTCATGAGTATCTTTCTTTTTCTTGATCAAATCACCAAAAAAGTGACTGCTAATGAATTAAAAAAGCTTTTCTGAGCTGAGACACCCCCCTCCCATTACAACTGTCATGGTAGGCTACAGGCAACTTCTCTGCTTGCTTCAAATTCCAGCTTCTGTTGAAAATTTACCTGTGCCTTTTCCTTTACCCTTTGAACTACTTTTGCAATGGGACTACATAGATACTTCATGGCACTTATGTCAGAACTGAGAATTAAGTCATAGCAAACACCACATCAGACTGAAACTTCAGTCGAATACCAAGTGGCCATTACTCCTGGAAACGTAGTGTTGTATACTCGTCTATTTCACTGTAAGCTTTGCAAAATCAGAAGTTAATGAAAAGTTTTAAGACTGGTGTAGGGAATCATTCAGTTTATACGTCATATACATGTCAGAAACATAGTGTAATCCTTGTCTGCATCAGAGTAGGAAGTTCTGCTGAGGTTGCTTTCGACTTGAAAACCCAACCAGGTATCAGCTATTAGTGTTTTAATTGGATGAGATTCTTTCTTCCAATGTTTATTTCAGTCAGTAATGATAACCACCACCTACACAGCATCACAACTTAATTGGTTAAAACTCTCTGTTTCTTGGGAAATCAATTTCTCCTGTTAGTATGAACTCCAGACACATCTTGCTATGTGAACTTGGGCCCAGAATCCAAATGCACAGTCTTTCTTTGAGATAAACGGAAGTTAAGTGCCTAAATACCTGTGTGACTCTTGACACTCATCTTGTAGCATCGAGAAGATTATCTACATCAGTATTACCTTTTCTACAAAAATAATCAGTCATTTACAGACTGAAATAATAAATTAGAATAATATGTTTTACTTCAATATATGTTCAGAAGCAGGGGAATCTGCGTCAGCCTTCTTAAAGATGAATGTTGTTGCAATCAGTAGAGGTTTGGGGAAAGCCAGAGTAGAAGAGGAAGAGTGGCAATTTTTCTAACACTAAAAAGTGTTCGGCTCCACTGGCTCTGGCACACACCAGTCTTCAAATAAACAAAATTTCTCTTTTGAAGACCTCGATTCAATAGGAATCTAAGCGAGTGAAATAAGCTTAAGATGCCTCCAGCTTCCTTTTCTATAAATACCATAGATCCTCTCAACGAAGCAAAAGGCAGAGAGCACCAGTAAAAGGTTGTGTTTGCATATACAGTGTAAACTGAAAAGCCTCAGGTTTTAGATAAAATCCTACATTGACCCAATGAGGCATGACACTGATGAAACTATGTACCTAGTACATTCAGAACGCGTAGGTTAAAGACCTTTGCCTACCACACAGATAGAGGCCTGTAATCAAAATCAAACTCCCACATCTTGCTCTTAAAATTTGTGGGATAAGTGTAAGGTTTAATGCAGGTAATTTTTCAACAGTGGCAGTTATGTTTCGTAGGGCTGGAATGTGCCTCTTTATCACCGCGTAGACACTCCATCTCAGTTGCAACATGACAGTGAAGTTTGTTTAACACGCAGAAAGGTGAATAAAAGGATCACTGTCTTTTTAACCTGTGTGAAGATATCACCTTTCGCATGATTTTATTTGCAAGTAAATCAAGCACATCATTTCTGGGTTCCTATTGTTCAGAGAAAATGTGATTTCTATCTGATGGCCTCTCATAACATTTTACCTTACGCGGGAAGCTATTGTTGGCTGTTTGATCAAAGTGCCACGCTGTTTTTACAAGAGATGACTGATGAGCTGTACAGACATAGATCATTGTCAAAAGCAGAAAATAATGATGGCAAATGCTTTTATCATTTTCCAAGTTCTTGCCTAGAAAGCTTTTCCATTGATCAGTGTAGTACCTAGTAGAAAGTAGGGGTGATTAGGTTTGATTAGGACACACTAAAACTTGTCACATTAGTTAAATACACAGATATTGCTGTGCTGTAGAGTCCTTGAAACTAAAAAGAAATAAAAAAAAGCAGGAATGCTTCTTTGTGAAATTTCACTGTACTTACATGGGAATTCAGAAAGCTGAGACTCGTGTTCTTACCTCATTACTTACATATATTTTCCTCATGCTTCCTCCTTTTCAGTTTGGCTGACGCTAAAAAAATCCTTTTGTAAGCGTGCAACCATCTATATCTACATGTACACCAGTGATGTCTGACCCTTTTAGCCCACAGTCGAAACATTTAAAACATGTTGGACAGCCACAGTCAATGTATCAGGGCAATTAATTTGCCTTGTTCTCCTTTCTTTGCATTCAGATGGCACACAGAAAATGGAAACCGTCTACATCTCTTCAGGCAATGTGGAGCTGATGTAAGCCAGCTCTTGTGCCTCCCTTCCTACTGTCCTGAACACAGGAGGCACACTGATTATAGGGAGGGAAAATGGTTAAGCATGCTGTGCTCCATCTGTCTCCACCTGGTGCATGGTTCTTTGGAAATCATAGGTAGGCGATACACACAAGGACAATCCTCAGGCAGTTTTTTACTGGACATAAGGAAGGAGACTATGAAGCAGAATATCAGATCACTTTTCAACCTTCTTGGGCTGCTGGTAGCATGAAAGTAAAGTAACCTTTTCATAGGTATTTTGTGACACCAGTCAAGCTCTTTTCTCACTATCCTCCAGAACATAGTCAAAACAGCAACCAAAGCTGCTCCTTTTCATTCTCTGCTGAGCAGCGGTGGTGGGACTCCTGCTTCATTCTGCAGGGACTGCTTAGAAGTAGTGGAAGCAATCCAGGAAGCACACCATCTTATGTCTTTCACATAGTAACAAGGTGGTTTCAGAGATCTTAAGGTAGGACTCAAGGAACACGTGTTCAGCTCCAGACTGCTACATGATTTCTTGCCAATTGTATTGTCCTTAACATAAGGACAATATGATAATTATTAATAATAATTCACAACTTCAAAAGCGACAGCTTGTTTCCCTGGCAAAAGTTAGGAAATTTAAATCTGAATTATTCTGGAGTATGTTTATGTACATCACTAGTAAAGGTGGTGCCTCCTGGTCAAATGCAGCTATTATTCTCCCGTATCAGTTTAAGAAAACATAAAATAATAGGCAGCAAACGTAAAATCATGTAACAAAGAAGGGTAAATTTAATACAAGAAGCTGTAACCAGGTGAGACTTCTCAGGTCTTCTCAGAAGACCTGAACAAATTTCTGGTTTAGATGACCACCACTCAGTTTTACACCTCAACAATAACATCATCTTCTAATACCAGGCCCCATCTTATAGAATGTCAGATTTCAAACATGAAGTCAGAAGTTCTTTGGGATTCCATGCTTTTTTTTCTTATGCATAGCAGTTTCCCCTGGTTTTTGAGACATAACTAATTTTTGGTCTTTTCCTTCAAAAAAATGTTTCATTTGTGCTTTAATTTCCAGGTATATTGTATGTACTATTTTTTGTTCTGAGTAGAAAACTATTTAGTTTTCTAGGTATAGCAAATATTTCTTCTTCACAGCCACTGTTTTTTTTTCCCTGGAAAAGTCCCTTACTGATCTTGTTTAAGTATGTCTAATCCCAAATAAGAGAGGAGACAGTAACTCACTCCCTAAACAGTTTACGACTGCTATTATTTTTTTCTGTAATCTGTCCCCAAGCAAGCTTAAATCTCTCACAATCTCCTTGAAGGAAAAAAAAAAGAAAAAGTAGAGAGAGTATGGAAAGAATATTCAAAAAACTTTCTGATTGTTGTATTTTTTTTCTGGGATGGCTTACAAAAAAGTACTTCCTGGTATGGTTAAACAATGGGCATCTTTTAATCATATAAGGAAAATTAACATTTCAAATCCAGTTTATGGCATTTTCTTATCTGATTTGTTGCTTCCAAGTTTCTCATCAGTTATTAGAATTTTGCACCAGAAATAATCTTTAATCATTATTTCTTTTTTATTTTCTGCTTTAGCATGAAGGTCACAAATTGTGTAACCATACACAAAACATGCCTTGTCCCTACCTGTCCTGTTTCTTTTCTTCAGTATTTTGAATTCCTTGGTACATTTCATTTGAAACCTTTCATTTAAGAAACCAGAATGATCCAGGCTGAACCACACTGCTAGTGCTGACATTTGTCTGGTGCTGTTCTGTGTTTGTGCCAATGCATGGATGCAGGATCTCTTTCAGGTAGCATCATCAGCCAGTAGTGCTTTTGCTGTAATGATAGCTTGTACATTTTCAGTGATTTTCATCTAGGGATTTGGAAGTGCTTTGCAGAAATAGAATATGATTGCCTCCTTATTTCTCTCTGTACCTACACTTGCATCTATGTGTGTGTGTGTATGTATATAGACCCCTAATACACATAGAGATTACATCTCGTGCAACCAGGATCACAGTGAGGAAGTGAAGATGAGAACAAAATCTGGCTTCGTGATTGTATATTCCTATCATAACTGAAGCTGAATATTTCCCAAATATTTAGTAATGATGTTGAGAAGAATCTATGTTTCTTCCTTTCCTATATACTTAGCAAAGGAATAGCTTGATTAGTTTCTACAGAATGCTCATAAATGAAAGTGAGTAGTTTTGTTATGTTTGGTTTGGAAACATTGAGGACAGTAAATCGAAGGGGGTTTTGCCTGTAATTCTGAAAATGGTGAGATTGATTAACTGTCTTACCACTTGCAAAACTGAATTTACAAGCATAGATCTCAATGTTCTCTAAAGGTTAAAGGTGAAGCCCTTATTAGATTTTCTGTATGCTGTTTTGAAAGTCAGATTTGCAAAAAGGCAACCTTGCAGCTGGTTTGCAACAGTCCTTTGGTGCAGAGAGGGTTATTCAAGTCTTCAGAAGGACTTCAGTGTCCAAAGAGGAGCTGAAGCAGGGTACAAATGCCGGGGTGGTATATCCACCACTATCTTTGATGTTAAGTTTCCTTCCTATAAATCAGTGCAACAAGAACTAGTCAGTTCTGTATTAGCGTATTAAAGCTCTATGCAGACTTTCAGTTCAGGTCAAGAGGTGTAGGAAGGAAAACTTTCCCTAACCTTTGCTTTTGTGTTTCATTCTACTGCTTTGTGTTCCTAGCACTTCATTGCAACATCTCGGGTTGGAGGGGGAATAGCTGCATTCCTGAGGTCTCCCCACTTTTATTACATTTTCACTTCTATTCAAGCTGAGTTGCCAAAAAGACTTGAGAGACTCCCTCTTTCTGTAGATCTGTAAAGCACATTACAAAATGAGGGATAAATCCTGATAAGGTTTCTGGATGCTGTTGTAACACGATAATGAATTTGGCCATTGGCCTTCAATGTGGGTGTTTTAGAGAGTGTGGATAAAACAGGCTATCTTAAAGAAAGCACTGTCTGTTCCCAGCCTTTTCCCCATCTTATGAATTTATGTTTTACCTTTCCTTTTTGTTATTTGGAAACTTAGGGCTTGCTTTTATTCTCAAGCTACTATAGCATAAGAGTATTCCCGGTGTAATTATTTTTGAATTGTAGAGCACATCTACAATCAGAATCCTGTTCCCGTAGTTGAATTATGGCTCCCTTCAAAGTCCCCGGCCAAGCTCCCACTGACTTTGGGAGAGCATGAATTTCATTCCTGCGCTTGTTTTTCCTAATATCTGGATAAATTTTTAAGGAATTTCCAGCTGAAACTCATCACACCATGATCCAGAAGATACAAAAGCAAGTATCCCTAGTGGTGTCTTGGCATTTAAGTATCAAGTTTTACTTCCTAACCAGAAAGTTATTTTTAATAACTTTTAATAACTTTCACTTAAAAAAAACCTCATTAGAATTTTTAACTCTCACATCTGGGAATAAGAGTGACCTAGAATGCTGATGCGATGATTCATAGGATTTTAATTTTTGTAATATGGGATACTATCACATATAGATTTTAAATTGCACATTTCAGCTGCTGCTCTAAGTAGCGTTTGGTACAGGAGGAAATCTTCCCACTCTGGCTTGCCAGGAGCAAGCCTGCAAGTTGAAATGAAATATCCATTAATTTTTTTGTACCTAAATAAGTAATTCCTGCTTCCCTCCCTAATCTGCGCAGTGCAGCAAGATGCATGGCTCCTGCACCACAGGAAGGGTGCAGTGTCATTGCCCCAAAGCAACTGGAGAGGGCAAGAACCTAGGCCTGAGAAAAGGCAGTGGAAAACCCACAGTGGGGCTGGGGAAATATAATGCTTCATTTGCTGTCTGACTAGAAGAGGGTGCAGAAGCAAGAACACATAAAAAATGCCACAGCCAAATCCCTCACTTTCCTATTTGGCTTTACTGCACCTTTCAGCTGGCTGATGTGTTGTGGCTAGGTGGGCCACCCGCTCCTTCCTCAGCATTTAGAAATGCTTGGTCTTTCAGCTGTCCTGCCTTTATTGAGTGTGGCTAGAGGGCAGGTCACTGAGGGTTTTCTGCTTAAGGAAATGCAATATGTAGAAAAGATGGAAGACTATGTAGTTTGTCATCACCTGTGGCTACTGACCAGTACAGCAAATGACTGAACATTAGCTCCCCAAGATAAATAACATACTTTCAATAACAGACCTTAAGTCTGTTGCAAAACGTGTCTACCTTTCATAGATTAAAAGCCAAGAAAATAAAACACGTGGTGTCTTGTTTCCCTACATCCACGTTTTGGGCATATTTCTGAAAGTGACCTCATTTTCAGCAGCTTCTCCTCCCCCAGACAAGATGTTACATGGGTTGGAAACAACAGTCAAAAGATGCAGTTACTGTTCTGCACGGTCTCTGCTGTGACTTCCAGCCAAGCACAGTCCACACATCCCAGATACCATCTACTCCTTGCCATTGATGGACACTCCCAAAATGCCAGCCCAGTGGCCCTAGTCAGTCTCTGCTGGACTCACTCCATGCCTGGTCTACATGCCTGGTCCATGCCATCCTCTCCCCCTGCATCTCGACCTCCTTTCCCAGGATCTGGGGAGGTTCTTGCAGGCGACGCAACAGAACTGTTTCTGCCAGCCCGCACTGGCCAGTCTCCCTGGCACATGCTGACTGCTGGGCTGTCCAGAGGCAGCAGTCACCTCACGAGTTACAAGGACAGGAGCTGCGTCTGAAAACTGAAGAGTGGTTTGCAAGCTGTGCAAGTAAGCTTTCGCTGGTCTGTAAGACAAGGGGCCTCCCCTTCACACTGATGGCACAAACAGGTCCTTTGGTGTTTCATCCCCTTGTGAGAGGGCGAGTTGGGGGTCTTGAAAGTGAGCCAGGTCTTAAGGTGGACTGTGGAGGAAGATATCTCAGTGTTTGACTATGCTGTGGAAGCCTTGTAACCCCTTTTACTGGACCAGAAAAATGCCCATATAAAATGTGAGAGCATATCATACTCCTCCTCAGTATTACCCTAATAAAACTCTAGCCTGAATCTTAAAATCACTTCCACTGTCAGGCTTTCATTTACCTGCATGTCCTGAGCCATGAAGCATTTGTTTGCCCTTTATTTGCATGTGCAGCTCTAATTATTAGAGGAAAAAATACAAGAGAGAGCTTATGCTGCAACAGCAGTCTTCAGCTAACCCCTCATAGACTTCACAGAGCTTTGAGCTACTGATTGTCTAAGTGATCTCATTAAAGAACTAAAGATAGCTGTGCGGACTAAAATGCCGTAATTTCAGGGGAAAGAATTCAAACCCAGTGAGGCCGTGCAAACACTGATGAGCAAATGAGCCTCTAGTGATATTTGTTACATAGACCCTTAGCTGTCCTCTTCTCCAACCAATTGCTTTGTCCCTATAATCATAGAATCATAGGATACCAGGCTGAAAAGGACCTCGAGGATCATCTGGTCCAACCTTTCTTAGCAAAAGCACGGTCTAGACAAGATGGACCAGCACCCTGTCCAGCTGAATCTTAAAGGTATCCAGTGTTGGGGAATCCACCACTTCCCTGGGGTGATTATTCCAATGGCTGATTGTTCTCATTGTGAAAAATTTTCCTCCTGCGTCCAATCAGAATCCCCCCAGGAGTAACTTGTACCCATTACCCCATGTCTTTTCCATGTGACTCCTTGTGAAAAGGGAGTCTCCATCTTCTTTGTAGCCACCCTTTAAATACTGGAACATGGTGATAAGGTCTCTCCTAAGCCTTCCTTTCTTAAGGGTGAACAAACCCAGTTCTCTCAGCCTTACCTTACCAGTTCCATCTGGGTGGAAGCATCAGACATCTCAGGGGTTTTCTCTGTAGAAACACTGGTTTTAACTCTGAGGCGAGTGCCCACCATCCTGGCAGAGACCTAGAGCACTTCCCTGGGCTGTGGGCCTACAAGCAGGGTGCATGGCACTTCTCATGCACCCTTCTGCGCAAAGGCCTTCAGCCTTTATTTATATTTAAAAATTACCACTTTTTGGATTGCCCCATTTCTGAAGTGGAAATTACTAAATGGATCGCACAGTATTGTCTTTTACTTTCTCAAAATTCATATCAGGCCAGAAGAAAAGATAATGGCCACGTAGACCAAACTGGGGAAATGCAAAGCTACAATTCTGCTTACAGTTCTAGCTCTGTACCTACGGGTTGTTACTTGCTTTTTTTTTTTTTTGATTCCTAAAAGAATGGGTGTCTCCTAAAAACCTTGATGTTCACCCCTTCCTTTTTCAGACAGCTCTCTCCATACCTTCCCGAACACCTGCAACATCATTTTCTGTGCTCTTCCGAACTCTGTAACTGTCAATTATAATCCTCTCTAATCCATCCTCTAGTGAGTGCAGAACTGATTTGCCAAGCCCCTCCTTGCAATTATAATCTTTGAGGCTTTTAGTCATCTTTTACTGCAGTGATGATTTCAAGTTTCCTCTTTTCTTTCACCTTTGTGATTATTAGGGCCTCATCTTTCTAGGCACTTTCCAACCTTGTCATTCCTCTCTTATTAATATGAAATTTCATAAATCATGTGTCAGGCCTTTAGTTACCATGTCCTTTTTCATTCATTATAATACTGCCTTACCAATAATTTTATCTCATTGTCTGCACACTTTTAAACATTAGTTAAAGCTATATGCCAAGTGTACCTGTAAATTATCTTAGCAGCAGCAATCAATGAATGCAGACTTGGAGAGCACCCTACTGGTGTTACTATTGAAATGCACCCGTGGAAACAAATCTGCACACACAGGTAAAATTAAACCAGTGACATTTTAAACAATTATGTCGATAGTATCTGTGATTAAGAGTTTGTGTCTAGTGCATTTAATAGCTAAAGTAGTAGTAGTGATACAGTGATGCAAGTATCAACTGTTGGATAATATCTGTTTACACTTAGATTCATGGAAAATCTGCAAACAGAAGTCCAAGAAATGGAATTCATAAAGTTTTCAAAGGGTTTGAATGTCATGAGAAAAGAAGACTTTGCAGAATGGTTACTGTACTTCACTGATGAGGAAAACAATGACATTTACTGGCAGAATGTGAAAGACAGAATTGAGGCGGGAGAGGTTGGTACATAAAGCGTGCTTTGTTTTGCTTCCTCGTTTGCATGTACAGGTTTCATTTGAATATGAGTATCTAATAATGTAACTAGTTTCCAAGTGAATTATTGCAGCTTTTGAATTTGATGCAAATTTTATGCAAAGAACAATGATAATTTGCCAACTGAGAAATACAAATATTGACGATGAGTAAGCAATCACACCTAAACACTCGGTCCCGCCAGATTTACTGAAATAGATTTACTGGGGTTTGAATGTATTATTCATTACATATCATCTGAATTCTGTGATACTCTAGAATATCAGTTTGGAAGAATTCAAAACTTTTTGCAAGTTTACAAACAACCTGGAAGACTTTTCTATTGCCATGCAGATGTTTTCTGTAGCCAATCGTCCTGTTAAAAGGGGTAAGTACTGCACACCTTTCATTTTTTTTTTTTAAAGAAAAAATGCATTTTTGTTACAGAATTAATGTAAGTTATCCCAAAGTATCCCAAAGTAGCATTATGAAGTCCAAAAATAGTATACTGCTCTTCATTCTGAATTAATTCTATTTTATGAAAAAATAATAATATCAAGTTCCCAAAATTACTTGATTTGTAAGTTCTAATGTGCTATCATATGCTGAACCGCTCACAGCAGACTGAACCATAGAATCATAGAATGGTTTGGGTTGGAAGGGACCTTTAAAGATCATCTAGTCCAACCCCCCACTGCCGTGGGCAGGGACATCTTTCACTAGTTGCTCAAAGCCCCATCCAACCTGACCTTGAACTCCAATGATGGGGCTGGGCAACCTGTTCCAGTGTCCCACCACCGTCATCGTAAAAAGTTTCTTCCTTATGTCCAGTCTAAATCTACTGTCTTTCAGTTTGAAACCATTTCGCCTTGTCCTGTCGCTACAGGCCTTGGTAAAAAGTCTGTCCCCATCTTTCTTATAAGCCCCCTTTATATATTGAAAGGCCACAATAAGATCTGCCCAGAGCCTTCTCTACTCCAGGCTGAGTAACACCAACTCTCTCGGCCTTTCTTCACTGGAGAAGTGCTCCAGACCTCTGATCATTTTTGTGGCCCTCCTCTGTAACAGGTCCATGTCTTCCGTGTACTGGGAGCCCCAGAGCTGGACACGGTACTCCAGGTGGGGTCTCACCAGAGCAGAGGAGAGGGGCAGAATCCCCTCCCTCGACCTGCTGGCCACGCTTCTTTGGATGCAGCCCAGGATACGATTGGCCTTCTGGGCTGCGAGCACACATTGCTGGCTCATGTCCAGATTTTCATCCACCAGTATCCCCAAGTCCTTATCCATAGGGCTGTTCTCAGTCCAATCTAAATTCTAGGTTAGGAAGGATTTATTGAAACAACACATGCTTCAGTAACAGTTCATGGTAACAAAGCTTTTTCCTCATAGTGAAACTAGTTTTCTGAGGAAACTAAACAATAGAAATCTCTTCTTTTGCAGGGTCTGTAGCATCTTGCTGTGTTTTACTTATGTCTCCATACTGCCTTCTCCATGTGCTTATGTAGCATTATGCAATCATGGCAATGAAAGACAAACAATGTAGTAAAGTGGTTTTTAAAATAAAGATTTGGAGGAGGGAAGTTGCTTCTTTCCCATACAGTAGAAATAGGAGCAATGCAACAAAAGTTTCATGGACATACAAATGCTTTTTGTTATAATCCTGAGGTTGTTACTTACTTGTTATACTTCAAAGACAGCTCTCATAATTTATTTGAACATAGTAACATAAAAAGTTCCTAAGGAAATTTAATGAGGCATTAACATTCATTGAAATAAATATTTGATGGGCTCATGTGAAAAAGTGAGAGAGATGTGAGAAGACAGGAAGAGAATTCAGTATTCTTGAGAGAGAAATGTGAAGATTGTTTGAACCAAGGAAGGCCAAAACTGGGGGTGGGGGGTGGGGGTGGGGCTTACAACTTGTGACTTTCATCACTAGTTAATCCAGCCTTCAGGAAGAGTTTCGTTTCCACAGCCTCTCCAGGCGGCTGTTCTAGTGCTTAACCACTCTCATCATGAAGACTTTTCTGTGTCAAACCCTTGCTGCAACTTAGAACAGTTGTGTCTTACCTCCATGCACCTTTGAGAAAAATACGGCGCTCTCTTCTCTATAACCCCTTTTAGGTGGTTGAAGGCTGCAGCGAGATCCCTCCTTACACTTCTGTTCTCCCCAGGTCCCTCAGCTTCTCTTCCTCCATCATGTGCTCCAGTTCCCAGCTGGGTTTGTGGCCCTCCTCTGTCTGGTTTGACAACATCTTTCTTCTGCAGGGCAGGGAGACAGATTTTATTTGCACAAGGTGTACAAAGAATGCAGAGGAAAGAGGATGAATTAATGGTGAAATAATAGTCATAAGTGAGATACGAGAGTTTAGCTCACTTGTCTATTAAGTATCCCATTTTTAAGTGCCAAAGGATGATGAGGCCAGCAGTTGGTGTTGACTCTGGTAATGTTTCCTTGTAAAAACTCATTCCTAACCAACAGGCAGTTGTGACTCTGTTTATGCACTGAATCATACTGTGATCGAAAACAGTCAGCTCCTGAGGTAACTCACGGATGTTACATGTATACATGTCTAATCCTTTCCTGAATCTCACTAAGTTCTTTGTCTTGCTGTTTGCATGTATGTACATGTATACATGTATTCACACACAGATTAATATTTATCTAAAAATAAGACAGTCCTTTAGTCCCTCCTTTTATTCTAGACTTTTTTTTCTTCTAAGTTAGCAGCTCATCTTTTCTCTCTGATAAGGTGGCCCTTCTTGGTTTGAAGATTATTATGCTCCACCATTTTAGAAGATCTTTCTCCTTTTCTTCATGTTCTGTTCAAAAAACTGCAGTGCCATCTCTGGATTTATATTTAGCTTCAACAGCTGAAACAGTTAACATCTTTTTAAAGATAAAATTAAGACTCTACTATAAGCATCCCATATTTCATGTCCTTGTCAAATTGCGGTATATCCTTTTACAGAAGGATTTTCAACTTAATTATATTTAAACCAACTGTAGATTAATCAACTGCATTTACACAGGAGTTTTTCAGAGGCAAAGATGAGAGCTAAGTCAGGAGTGCTCTTTCCTCTAGTAAGCTTCAGAACTAATCATATTTATAGTGCTGTTTCTAAACAGCACTTGTTTATGAAAGCAGAACCATGTTATTACTATATTTATGACTTAGTTGGACAACTTGCTATAATAATCTACAATACTGCTATACGTTAATAACCTCCAGTCCCTTTTTGAAATTCACATTTCTGTGATGCCTTAAAAAATGCATCCAATTCATGTGTTGTGATTGTGCTTGCTATAATAAACAATAATCATTTCACTCTTACTATCTGCTGTTTTACGGCAACCCCACCCATTTCCTCATCTTCCTTGAGTCAAAACTCCAAATTCTTTACACCACAGAACGAAAAGTGGGGATAGTAGGTATTACTGTGATACATATGGTACTGTAAAGAGAGATGGCCAAAAAGCTGAAGAGGAAAGTAGATCTCCAGAGAGGTATGACAGCTTTTTCTGCCATGAATCCTCATAAACTCTTCCATCATAATTTAAGAGAAGGTAGCCTACTTCTTTAAAAATCAGAACTACAGGTATGTGTCGTGGTTTAATCTCAGTCGGCAACTAAGCACCACGCAGCCGCTCGCTCACTCCCCCCC